TTTGTTGGGTGCACGACATGCCGCCACCAACAGATCCTGGAAGTGGGGCGGCACCATCGGCGCATACGTACTCAGCACTGTGCAGGTCGATGCCCTAACCCTAAACCCGAACAAGAACCCTAAACCCTATACATCCCCCCTAGGAGCGTCCCCATCTTGAACTCCAGGTCCCCGGCTGTTGGCGTCCAGTCCCTTCAGACGCCGCCTCTTTGCCGGGCGGCCAGCGGCCTGCAGAAGATCACCAAAACGACTCAAACTAGGGGTTTATGGGGTTTAGGGATTTAGGGGCTTAGGGGTTTACTGTTTAGGGTTTGTCTAGGGGTTGAGGGTCGGGACTCTGCAGTGGATGAAGGAAATCTTGCACAACTCAGAATCCCCGAACGATTATAGCTATTACGACCTAAGGTATACAGTGTGGTGCAGGATTTCCTCCATCCACGGCAGAGAAATGCGGGCACTACAAAAGCACCATACTACGGGTCCTTGATTTGGGGTCCCTACAAACCTAGCATGATGCCCTGAAGGGCTCTCACATTCCAGCCCAAAAAAGTAAGTGTCAATTCGGGGCAGATAAGATACTTCTACTTGCAGGTTGTGGCACTTGGTAACTACGTTTATCCCCAAACTGGGCTTATAAATGATTAAACAACTAGCATCCCCCTTTATAACCCCTATAGTTGTCTCCTATATAATCCCCCTTTGAGGAATTTAGACTGTAGCTCATATATAGGTTACCCCACTTGCTTGTTAAAGCTGTGGTAGAGTTTTGGGCACAGGAGATCTAGGCTTCGGACCTTTTAGGGTTTGGGATTTGCGGTTTAGGGTTTAGGGGGCCTCCACACAAAAGCCCAAATCTTGAGAGACTCTAAGCTCAACACCTACCCCAAATACCCGAAATCTCAAGCTTTCGCATACTCCTAAACCCCAAGCCCTGCACCCTACACCTCTAACCTTTAACTGTAAACCTCAAACCCTAAAGCCTAAAACCTTGATCCTAAGCCCTGTACTCTGAAACCTTAAGGCTAAACCCGAAAACCTTAGCCCTAAACCCTCCACCCGAAATCCTAATTCCCCAGCCCTGTTTCTCTACCAAAGCCTCTGGTGGTCCATGATCGCCGGGGCGCATAGCTTCATGCATCATCTGCAGGCCAAGTTGGGGGCTTCAGGGTTTAGGCTTAGGGGATTAGGGTTTGGGGCTTCAGGATTTCAGGGGTTTGGGGCTTTGGGAGTTTAGGGTTTAGGGCTTAGAGTTTAGAGTTTAGGGTTTGGGGTTTAGGGTTTGGTTTGAAGGTTGAGGCCAAGGTTACTTTGAAACCCTAAACCCTAAACCCTAAACGCTAAACCCTAAACCCGAAACCCGAAACCCTAAACCCTAAACCGCTCTGCGGAGCTTCGCGCTTGCATGGGCTGATGGGGATCCCAAAGCTTCATCCCTGAACTCTAAACCCTGGGGTTTAGGGTTTAGGGTTTAGTGTAAACCCAGTAAGATTATATTCCTTATATTAAAATACTATACCCCAAAAGGAGGACATAATCTTACTCCATATTGGGTACCATAGTATCCCCAAATAAAATACTACTCAGCTTGAGTTTCAAGACCCAGGGTTGAAGAGGCCCTTGGTATGTATATGTATATGCATATGTGTATATATGTATTCATATAAATAGATAGGTAGGTAGCTATGTGAATATGTATATATACCCAAGTAGCTAGCTACTGTAACTTCTGATTTCATGAGCTCTTGGGAAAGTTCTGCTGCGGGATCTGCCAAAACGAGCAGTCCCTTCATAGGGTAGTCTGGATGAGATGAGCTATAGTCTAAGCTCTAGTATTCCCTTCAGAACCCCTATAGTAGTCCCCTATGTAATCCCGTATATACCCCCTCTAAGGAGTTTAGACTATACCTCATATATTCTTATTTAACCCTAAATATAGCTGTTTCAATTTAATTTTCCCGTTGCTCTTCCTTTTGATTCTCACCCCCTTTAAGGAATTAAGACCCTAAACCCTAAACCCCAAGTCTTAAACCCTAAATCCTAAACCCTAAACCCTATGTAACCCCCCGTAAGGACCTTTAGATTGTGGCTCAGATGATGCGAAACTGGGGTGGGATTGTGTAGGAGGTGAGGTTTCCTCCTTCTCAGCCTGAGAACCCGTTTCTTTGCGCTGAGCTACGGGTTTTAGGGTTTAGGGTTTAGGGTTTTTGCGCTGAGCTACGGGTTCTGGGGCTTAGGGTTTCTTACGACTACTTAGGGTTTGGGGTTGTCATTTTGGTTTTGAAATTTCAAATTTTGAGATTCACGAAATTGGGTTTAGGGTTTAAGTTTTCGGGCTTAGGAGTGCTGGCAGTGATAACCCTCATGCATGCACACATTTACACCGTGGATGTAGCTCCTACTGCTGAACTCCAACATTTCGCCTTGGCTCAAGGAGCTCCCAGAGCACCCAGCGCACACCGCCCTGCTGCGAAACATGGGTAAGCTAGCCTGACCACGTATGAATGGAATCCAACGTCGTTATGAGGAATATCAACAGGAGTCCCAAACTTTAGGTTTTAGGGGTGTTACCCCAATATTGGATACTCAAATGGAAAACAAATGGAAAACGAAAGGGAACTGGGGCGTAGACTGAGTTTGTATAGGCGAGCTGCGCACACAAGGATTTAACTGCTTCAGCTCAAGTCAGCCGCAATCGTTCCCTGAAAGGAACCCTCACACCGTCTCCCCAAATTCAAAGTACTTTTCTGGGGATCCCATGGTAAGCATCATAGTCTTAGGAGGCCTATATTGGGGTCCCCCCATGAAAACTACCATACTAATGTGAACCATAATCTAAACTCCTAGTATCCCCCTTAATAACCCCTATAGTAGTCCCCTATATAATCCCCTATATAAGCCCCTTTAAGGAGTTTAGATTAGGGCTCATGTCATGCACTACTTTCGGGGAGTTGCCTTCAAGCGCATTTTTGTTGCAGGGTCGCTGCCGAAGGGGTGCTAATGTACTGTTGGCCTGCCCGAAACGAAGGGCGAATTTCAGAGGCCTAGGTTTAGGGTTTAGCGTTTAGGGTTTAGGGTTTAGGGTGGCTGTTTCCTACCTTTGGTTAGAGAAGAATGAATGAAAGAATTGAAGAAAATGAAATGGAAACTACTATTTTAAAGGAAGCTATAAAGGGGCTGGGTTGGCCCCTAAAGCCCTTTGAAAAATTTTAGTATATAGGGTCCCTGATTAAAGCCATTAGGGAAAATATTCAATATTTCAGGGGCCTACCCAGGCAGGCTACTATAAGCACATCTTGCTTCATTCCTTGCTCACTAGAGGTCAGGTTTGCGACTCACAGAATCCGAGCCTGCATCGCGGCGCAAAGTTCTAAAGCTCTCCGCTGCAGCTTCCTAGATCCTCCTACTTAAAGCACGTCCTGTGGGTAGGCTGAGCATGTCTCAGTTACAAAGCATTCCGCTTGATGATCATCATCTCTGCTGATTCAAGATGATACTTGGGTGGTGCGACATGATGTACACCCGCTGAGAGCAACGATCACGAGGCAACAGCGTGAAGACGAGGGCTTGATTTAAATTCTCTAACACCCTATATAACCCCATATATAACTTGACTTAAATTCTTTAACACCCTAAATAACCCCATTTAGCTTGATTCAAATTCTTTAACACCCTATATAACCAATATATAACACCAGTTTCCATGTCGTGTCCATTTGATTCTCCATTCGGGTAACTAGCCCCTCAGGGAAGTTCCCTGTTTAACAGCAGCCCAGATGACCCTACGTAAACCCCAAACCCTAAACCCAAAAACGTTAACCCTCAACCCCAGACCCTAAACCTTAACCCAAGGACATCATCTTTCTGACCGCTTCTTCCGGATGCACTAGGCTGCGGCTGGCCAGCAACTTGACCTGAACAGGACAGACCCAGTGCCCAAGCCTAAGCTGAATGGGGTCTAGGGTCAAGGGTTTAGGGTTTAAGGTGTGGGGTTCAGGGTTTAGGCCTAAACCACTAAAGTCTAAACCCTAAGCCTAGGGCTTTCATGTTCAGGGGTTCTTTGGAGATATGATTGAGGATTCAGGGCAAGCCTAAGTTCAATGGGGCTTAGGGCTTGGGATTTAGGCTTTAGGGTCTAGGTTTGAGGATTTAGGGCTTGGGGCTTTTAACGGCTTAATGTAGGGTTTAGGATTTGGGCTTAAGGTTAAGGGTCTTTTGAAACGTCTGCCTGAACTGGTAGAGAAAGTCCTCTACTTGGAGGGTCAGGGGGACTTAGTGAACATACTTATCACCCCTAGAAGCCTTATAAAAGAAAAAAACAATTCTCTCCATTATAAACCCAGTTAATTAGTCGTGTGTAACTAGAACGATCTAAAGAGTACTACAGGGGCTCTTGAGGTCTATGTGAGGTACCATATACTATAATCATACAAGGAATATGGAACCATGATATTGGTAATTATTTAGGCCCCTATATTAGAAGGATCTGAAGAGTACAGTGGGATTGTATTCCTAAGAAAATTGCTTCTACCTGGCGAGGTGGTCAGGTGCGCTGAAGGGCCAAAACGATTCGAATCGAGGTTGTTAAGTCGTTTGTTCCATGGTTGTCATAGTTTGGGAACTATGAAAAAAGTAGTACCAACCCCTTGGGGTACTACTGCATTGAGACACACATGCATTACACAGCTGCACAGCTCAAGGCTTTTTGGACGCATGAACTGATGTGTCATCGATGGGTTTGCATCTGCAACGAACTGGTGGCAAGTAAGGAATGGAGGAAGGGATTCCCACGGAATGATAAAACCTAAACCTAAACCCCGTATACCATCTCCAAGAATTATCCTCATATCCCAGTCCTTCATTCCATAGGAGCCACCAATAAGGCAAGGGGCGGATGCATCTTTGCCCGCTGCTGTCCAATCTATACTGCAAACAATACTGACCCAACCGATACCAAAGGCACGAAGGAAAAAACAAAAAAAACATTGCCCAAGAATTCCTGGCTAGAAATTCTGCATCTCAGTGATGGTTCTGGCACCCTTTTGGTAATGGGTTCTCACTTGCATATTCCCTCGCAGGCTTGCGGCCCCAGCAAAGAAGTGGCACAGGGCAGCAGCCTGGCAAACGCTGACGGCTAAGGTTTGGGTTTATCTGGCTATTCTGCAAGGTACAAGGCTGTTTTTTTGGGGTGTAGGGGGGATACCTGCGCAAGGCAAAAAAAAACCGGCTAAGCTGAACATGGCTTGCACTTGTTCCCTATCTGTCCTATTGAAGTAATCCCACAATGCCAGATACATTGAGAGGACCCCCCACCCTGTAATAG